ACTCGACGGCACATAACAACAACAAGGGTCTTTCTCTTTTTCACCAACCATCCACCCATCCTAGCATCGTGTCCTTCTCTAAGACTTAGAACAATTAATTCCTGGTATATGGTCCGAGGTCAGGATATACTTATGGAATAAGAATTATTTTTACTCCAAATATCATCATCTTTCTAGTTCTCTTTGAGTGAAATTGATGCTTTCCCCTACCCCCATCACTTCCCACTCCAGAAAGAGGAGAACATCATTCTTCAGGTTGACTGACTGGTGGGTGGAATTAGGGTGTGCGGGATTCCTGAGCTGGATTAGGAAAAGAAAGCTGCATAGACCGACACCACCAGTAGAGGAATGCCACAGCCCGCCATAGACTGATTCCTAGGAAGAAGACTTCTTCCTTTGGCCACTGCTCTGCTCTCGAGAAAACTCAAGAGTGTAATGAGGTAGGAACTGGAAGGAGTGGTCTGGGATGGAGCAGAGTCACAGAAACTTTCCGACAGTCCTTACCTTGACTTTTAAAGTGTATTCCACAGTCCATTTCTGACTAGCCTTCTACCATAAGCTCCCTGTCTGTAATCACCAGGGATAGGGAATATGCCAGTGAGTTGTGTTCTAACTCCTGCAACATGTTAGTAGGCAAGACAATTGGAGAAGGAAAAAAAAAGATATTTCTACAATGAATCTTAAATCCACTCAGTACTGTCTCAAAATTCATGTACACGAAACTAATCTCTCATCATTTCTTTTTCTATTTTTATTTGTATCTCCTTATTAGGACAAAAAATGTTAAATTTTTTTTCCACAGGGATAATTTTTTATATGTACTTTGATAGTTTTTAAGAATGTATGTAGTGCTGGAGAAGAATGTTGAATGTACATGGACTACCACGAGAACAGACAGGTTCATCCTGGAGAGGGTGAAACCAGGCTGCTTCTTCGAGGCAAGGATTCTGAGGCTTTATCTGACATACTTTGGGCCTCTTTCAAGGAGAGATCAGTCCTTGTAGAGATACATCATGATTAGAAGGGTGGAGGAACAGAGAAAGAGAAGATGAGATATATTGATTCCATGACTCGGGTAATGAGGGTAGGTGCATCAGAAACAGTAAAGTTGGTACAGGATAGAGCAGGTATCAGCGCTATTGTACATAGGGTCACTATGAGTCACAAGGGACTCGATGGCACCTAACAACAACATTATGATATGAGACATGATTAACTATTAATATGACAAATCTCTGTATATGTAGATGCCGCATGATAACATACTTGGCCTAGTAGCCAATTGCATGTCTTTTCCTGCGCTATCTTTCAGTTTCTTGGAGTAAGAGATGAAGATTGATTCTTTCAGTCTCATTGTCCCTGGCAATTCTCCCTTTCCCACAGTAACTCCAGCTACTCCCTCTGCCAGTAGAATCATCAGGTTCATGGGGCCCAGAAAATGAAGGTCTGATGTGATGGGGAGGTTCTCGGGACCAAATAGCCTTGGCTCTTACCAATGACTGAAAACACAGTCCTGACAGCTGCTTCAGTTATCTCCAGACGTGCATAATTATGATTGAGTTGGCTCTTCTTCCTCCTTTGGTGAAAATACTTAAGTGGGTATTTCACTGACCACCAAAGTCCAATTATCAGAAAGAAACTCCCTGGGAGAGCATGGCCCTTGAAGTTTGCCATCTGGCTTCTGGGACACCTGAAAATTAGAAGATGGCTTTAGTGACTGGATGAAGGAACAGATACATTTTGACAAAAACACAATACATGGTTAAGGATTCTAAATCATAAGCCATACTAAGAAGGATCATGTCATTCTCATAAAATAAGCCCACGTGTGAATGTTACTTAAGGAATGTCTTCTGAGTGAAACATGTGACCACAAGTATGCCCCCTGAACCTACAACTTAAAGAAAGGAAGGTGCATGAAAGGACTGGGGAAAAAAAGATGGAACTCTAGGGGAGAAAAACCTTCCTAAGCATAAAAGGAAAGGAGGAAAGTATAAAAGAAAGAAAAAATATTTTAATACATAAACATTATAGGGAAAATAAGTTGGGGGAAATGTAGCATCTATGACAAATAGTTAATAACTTACAGGGCTTCAGAAATTAAGATGAAAAAGATCAACTAATAGCAGTTGGCAATAAATCTTATATAATTAAAACCATGTCTATTAAAATGGTCATTTTCACCTGAAATACAGGACTTAGATGTGCAAGAGTTAAAATTTCTTTTGAATCAAAACTTTTTTTAGTATTGAGAGTTAAAATAGTACTAAAAGACACACACAGAGAGATAGATCATATATGGTCACTATAATCTAAATTTTATAAAATTAAAATAAATTCTACAAATACTACTTTATTCTAAAATAAACTACAGGATCAAAATTAGGAGTGTTAGAATTTATTGAGAAGAAAAGAGGTCTTTTTCCCAGGGTCTTAGTGGTGACCAGACTGCAGGGGAGGGAGACTAGCAGTGATCTAGAACACGGGCTGGGAACATAAGGTTCTACTGGCCCTGTGGCCTGGCCCTGCAAGGGCGCAACCACTGAAACTGGCTAGTCAAATTGTGAGAGCTGGCCCTGCCTTCCACACTTACAGCTGAGCTCTCCATCCTCAATCAAGAACATAAACACTTAAATTTTTAGAAAAGATGTACTGACATATACTTTGATACAATTGTACCAGAAGGCTTATAGTAAAAAAACAAAACAAAACAAACAAACAAACAAACAAAAAACAAAAAACAAAAAACAAACAAACAAATAACAAAAAACAAAAAACAAACAAACAAATAACAAAAGACTAAAAAAACCCCACCTTGTATTGTACCTTGATGAAACCACTTGGGGTTATTTTGTGTATGTCGCCTTTTACTAATTTATCATTTTCAAGCATTATCTGCCAAATCCCTAGCGTAAAAGATGAGTTCTTTTACAGCCTCTTGCTCTCTTGCACTCTTACATTTTCATCATAGCTACACTATACTTTTAATTGAATCATTAGCCAATGTTTTCTTACTCTAATTTGAAAATGCAAATTAAGGCCTGTAAGAATGGACTGAACTTTGTTCCCTTAAAATACTTGGCTTGGTGTCAACTTGGCTGGGCAACAATTCTCAATGGTTTGACTGTTATGCAATGATGTAATCACTGCATGAGGAGATCTGATGTGATAATCAGTGCTAAGAAACAGAGCTAGGCTGCAATGCCCTCACTCAGGTGACAGCCCTACTGGGATGCAAGTATACTTTCCATGAGGTGTGGGTTTGTAGTACCTTTTATCTTATAATGTATATAAAAGGAACAGAATTGAGAACCCAGAAATTAAGCCATCTATCTGTGGTCAACTGATATTCAACAAAGAAACAAAACTATCAAAATGGAGAAACAACTTCTTCAACAAATGGTGTTGGCAAAACTGGACTGCTATCTGCAGAAAGCGGAAACAGAATCCACAAAAATCTCAACTCAGTGTGGATTAGAGACCTAAGGGAAAATTCCCAAATCATAAAGATCATAAGAGATAAAATGGGACCAAACTTAGAAGGTCTCACTATTTCATAAAGAGGCTGACAAACACACAACCAGGAGAAGATAAAATTGATGAATGAGTTCGTCTAAAGATTAAGTCCCTATGTGCATAAAAAACCTTTTTTCCCCAACAGGGTGTAAAGAAAACCTACTGACTAGGAAAAAAACCATTTGGCAATGTTGTCACAGACAAGGGTCCCATAACAAAAGTTTAGAGAATACTACAGGGCCTCCACCAGAAAAAAAGACTGATAGCACAATTACAAAATGTGCAAATGTCATGGAAAGACAGACACATGAAGAAATACTTAAAATCATATGATAAGAGAAATGCAAGCCAAAACCACAAAGAAATAGTATCTCACCCCAGTAGCAGTGGCAAAGTTTAACAGGACAGCAAACAATAAATGTTGGAGATGATGTGGAGAGATTGGAACTCTCATACACTGTTAGTGGGATTGTAAAATGGTACAACTACTCTGGAAGACAGTCTGGCATTTCCTCAAAAAGCTGAATATAGAAATTCCATATGATCCGGCTATTCCACTGCTAGGAATATACTCCAAGGAAATTAGAACTGAGACACAAATGGAGACTTATATACCAGTGATCATAACAGTGTTATTCACAATTGCAAGAACATGGAACAGCCCAAATGTCCAGACAAAATTGAATGGATTGAGAAATTGTGGCACGTTCACATGATGGAATACTATGCAGCACTAGAGCAATGATTTTGAAATTAAATACTACATAGCTCAAGAGAGACTGGAGAACATTATGCTGAGTGAACTAACTCAGTTTATTTAAGGATAAATACTGCATAAGACCATTACTGAAAAATAGAAGGATAACTAGTAAAATGTGTATGGGTGGGGAAGGGGTGGAGTAGAGGGGTGAGGATGGATGGGGGGTAAATAACAGGGTTGCACAATTTTATGAGTGAAGGGAATGGTAGAGATTCAATAGGAATCTGGAAAGAGTAACTGTGGGCATAGATGAATGGTGATTAATTTTATAAAACATAATAACTGGGAATGATTGTATGAAACACAGTATGAGTAATGGATAGCAGGAAACACAATGTATACTGAACTTTATATGCAAATCAGTATCAAATAAAAATGAACAGAAAGGAAATGGACAATCTCCTCCCATGAAAACCCACTAAAGGGTCGGTCAGCTGTGGGTCAGTTCTGACTCGTTGGAACACAACAAAAAAACATTGAGAAGAATTGTAATCCCAGAGCACTAAATTGTGCTCATGTGAAACCTATACCAGATCAAGAGGCTATTGTACAAACAAAACAAGGGAACTCTCATAGTTTAAAAGCAAGAAAAGTTCGTGTCAGGGCTGTATCCTTTCACCACACCTATTCAATCTGTATGCTGAACAAATCACGCGAGAAGCCAGACCTTGTAAAGAAGAACGTGGCATCAAAATTGAGGGAAGATTCATCAACAACCTGTATTATACAGATGATACAACCTTGCTGGCTTAAAGTGAAGAAGTCTTGAAACATTTGCTGCAAAAGATCTAAATCTATACAGCCTTCAATATGGTTTACATCTCAACATCAAGAAAACAAAAATTTTCACCAAGCCAATAGGAAACTTCATGGTAGACGGAGAAAAGATTAAAATTGTCAAATATTTCATCCTACATATAAGCACAATTAACATTCTTGGTACCAGCAGTAAAGAAAGCAAAAGATGGGCCTCACTGAAAAAATCTGCTGTCAGGGACCTCTCCAAACTGGTGAAGATCAAGAATGGCAGTTTAGGCAGCTCCACAACCACACATCTCAACCCCCACCAAAGCCCTGTGACCTCAGGGCACCACCTTGGA